GATGATGATGCTGATGATGATGCTGATGTTGATGATGCTGATGCTGATGCTGATGATGAAGAGGAGGAGGAGGAGGAGGGGGAGTTGTTTTACAATCCCATATACTTTGATGCCACTGCTTCAGCATCATTCGCGGGCATTTGCCACACCGCCGACACGATAGGACACGGATATGCCTAGGTCATATATTGTGACGCATAGTTGATCATAGGCAGTTGAATAACGCGTTGTTATCGTTATCCTTTTCCTCCTCCTTCTTCGCCTCCTTATTCTCCTCCTCTCCCCTCCCACCGTCCGCCCCCGTTCCTTCGAACGTTCACGCTCCTCGGTCTCTCTCCCTCCTCCTCTTCCTCCTGCTTTCCACGATACCTGCTCCCATCGATCTTCAATCGTCGATCCTGCGACACCGCCGTCCAGAAGACAGGCTCCCAGGGCCCCGAGAGCATGAACTGCTTTTTCACGCCTGCGAGGAGCCTCTCGCCCCTCGTCCAGCCCCTTCCCTTAGAGTCAGTTTGAAGCCGCTTGAGGGCCGTTTGGGAGCCTCGAATGGGCTCGTTTGGGTCTCGTGGGAGCCTCTCGGGCGCTCTTTTTTGGGTGCCTCTTGGGCCGTCTCGGGGTCGTCTTGGGCTGTGTTGGACCCCTCTTGGGCCGTCCGGGCGCCATCTTAAGCTGTCTTGGGCCGTCCGGGGGGGGAGCTGTGTTGGGGCCCTACAAGGGCTTCTTGGGGGACCCTGAGGCAGTATTGGGCGCTGGGAACGGCAACAATCATTCTAAGACTGTTCGCTCTTACTGGCCCGCGAGTCATTCAAAACGAGTTCCCCACACCCTCGATACCCGCCCTTTTTGTCTTCGATCACACCCCCTTTGGAGGGATTCTTTCTCTTTGCGGAGGGTCGCGGGTTTAGACAGGCGGGCAAGCCTGAACGGCGGACAATCCTTCGTGGGCGTACATGTGCCTGCCATTGGAATTGGTGTGGGCCCTGCAAAAAGAGGACGGGGAGAACGAGGGAGAGTGGGACGAAGGGGGGGGAGGGACGAAGGAAGAGGGAAAACGCCAGGAGAGAAGGAGCGAAGAGGGGGGCAGTTGATTAGAGGCAGAGAGAGAAAGGGGGGAAAAAAGACATAAGAGAGGTAGAGAAGGAGAGAGAGAGAGAGAGAGAGAGAGAGAGGGAAGAGAGAGAAAGAAAGAGGGAGGGAGGAGGCTGGAGAGGGGAGGGAGAAGGGGGGAGGGAGAGGAGGGAGAGGGGATAGGGCAGAGAGGCATAAGCATGAGGGAAGAGAGGAGGGAGAGAGAAGGGAGGAGAGGGAGGAGGAGGGAGGAGGGAGAGGGAGGAGGAGCAGGAAGGTAAGAACGTGAACGTCCGAGGAAGTCCTAGGCGAAAGCGCCGTTCCTGAAGGAAGTCTCGGGCGGGAGCCCACGACGGGCGGGCGATCCCCTGGCGGGCGGGTCGGGCGGGTGGGACATTCAAGCGGGATGCTTGATTATGGCGAGAGCGCGATTACTAAATAAATTGTATCGGCGTCTTTGGCGCAGCGTGTTTCCTGAGCGTCGAAAGCGCGATTTCTGAATAAGTTGCATGGAGGTCACAGGGTAGAGCGCAACTCCTGAATATCATGTGAAGGATTCTCTGGCGGGAGCGGGGGTTTCGATTAAATGATACCAGAGAAAAGCCCCAATCATAATCTTTTTAAGGCTGTAGGGATATAGGGCTACAGGGCTATATGGGCTCTTGGGCGCTATATGGGCTATATGGGTTATAGGGCTATAGGGCGATAGGGATATAGGGCTATACGGCTATAGGGCTACAGTGCACCGGGCACCCGTCACCCGTGCACCCGGGCATCTGGGCACCCGGGCATCCGGGCATCCGGGCACGCGGGCCCGGTCACCGAATCGGCGGCGAACCCGGGCACCCGGGCACCCGGGCCACTGGGCACCCGCGCACCCGGGCCCGGCCACCGAATCGGCGGCGAACCCGGGCACCCAGGCACCCGGGCACCCGGGCACCCGGGCCCGGCCACCGAATCGGCGGCACACCTCACTTACTTTTAAATCCGCTAGGACCCCTACAGAGGCAAGTTCTGATTGGGGAATTGCGAAGAAGTCTTGATTCAATTGCGATGAGGTCTCAAGCGGGAGCGCCGTTCCTGAGTAAATCGTGAGGAAATCTCAGATGGGAGCGGGGGGCGTGTTTAAATTGCGAGGAAGTCACCGGCGGGAGCACCGATCCTGACTAAATTGTGAGGAAGTGTCAGGCGTGAACCGTCGTCGTTGTTGTTGTTGTTGTTGTTGTTGTTGTTGTTGTTGTTGTTGTTGTTGTTGTTGTTGTTGTTGAGTTCTCATTTCTGAAGAGTAATTATTGTTGATCCCCCCACCAGTGCATACTGTTTTTTCTCCATCAAAGTGTGCCCCTCGACGCTCGCACCCTGTTTTTTGACAGGGAAAGTCTTCCTGCTCAAACTGGGCCCCTGGCCCCAGGGTTACAACAACAACGGCTCCCGCTTGAGACTTCCTTACAATGTAGTCAGGACCCCCGCTTCCGCCCGAGACTTCCTCGCATTTTATTCAGGAATCGCGCTCT